GACAGACACTGCCCTACTCCTGCTGGCCACACTATTGTTGATACAGGCCAGGATGCTGTTGGCCTTCTTGGACACCTGGCTTCTTAATTCTAACACCACATACTAACTGACACTACTAAAATAATATCTTTCTGAGTGATAGGCATAATGGTAATACAGATTACATTGGCTCTTAAAACTTTCCAAACAGAGATGACCCAATTACTCAAGAACATCCTCTCAGCATTTTCTTTTTCCACAGTATTCACCTTATCTGGTGCATGTTCTAGTTTGTGACAGATATAACAGACTAAAAATGAAACACTGGAGTAGGACTTCAACCTTTCTTTTGCTGTTAGCAATCCTTTTTCCTCCCCTGAAGCTGGCAGACTTGGAGATGTAGCTTGGCACTTCTTCAAATAGGCAACCTGAAAGTCATTTCAGGGTTACCGCCTTGAAAAAGGGACAGTCTCTGCAGCCAAAGCATGTCTGAGACACCGTACAAAGGAGAACATCCTGCATCCAAGAGCCTCACATGCAGCATTCCCCACATCTCCTTCATCTGTAGAGTACATAAACCTGCCAAAAGCACCATCAAGTTTTGTTCCTTTCCCTCTCCAGGAAGATTATTAAACAAATCCCTAACACCGATTTCTAGATTAAAAAGTAAAATTAAATAAAGGAGTAATTAAGAAAGTCTTAAGTAATCAAATTTGCCTTCAGTAACAGATTTGATTAGAAGAAGGTTAGCTGGGTTGTTGGTTTCTCAACTCCTCCAAAAAATTACTGTTTTCCTCCCTGGAGCCCTGCCTGAAAAAAAGGCAAGTCTGGAAAAGAGTGCTCCTCCTTGTTTTTACGAGGTTTGGAAACCATCATCCCTAAAAAGAGGCCACCAAAGGTGGAAACAAGTCCCTCTTCTTTTGCAGAGAGGTTATGTCAAAATGTTTATAAAGTCTACTCAGACCACATTCCTGTGCAACTCTTCCGAAAATATCATTCTCAAACAGGTCAAAATGATCACATTTCTGCTCATCTGAACTCAGAATATGTTTTAGAAAGGAATAAACAAATATTTTCTTATCTGAAGCTCCCATGCAGTCTCTAGATTGAGAGAAATATCTAATGTCATTCTTCTACAGTCACTTTTAGCCTGTGATGCAGAGACACAAAAAAACCCAGAAAAGCCAGCGGCTTTCATGGCCATTTCTTTGCAAAAAGCAATGCACTGAACAGACAAGAAAACCCTGCACAGGTCAAACCCGTAACAATCAGCTTAAACCCACAAATAATGTCAAGCTTAATATCCTGCGGACATTTTTTGCAACTTCTCTGCTGCTGGGAAACAGTGTCTAAATAGCTCGTAGAATTTCTATTTAAAAAGCAATAAATTTCTTGTACTGAATTTTAGTGGAAATGAACTTCAAAGTGCAGAGTGCGTTGTAGAGTTCTTCCTTTTCCTTTTACGCAACATGTGTTTGTCATGTGTCAAAGCTGACTCTAGTTTCTCCCCTCCCCAGAATACCACAAATTCTTCTGTAAAATAAACAAAGCTGTGTCCAGAATCTCTGAAATTACCAGAAGCTGTTTGAGATCAAAGATGCACATCAGTACTGGGCCTTCTGCAACATCCCAGATTTCAGTTAAGATGAAATCTGCAGCAAACGGACAATCAACAGAACAAAACATTAACATCACAACCAGGCATATATCTAAAAAGAAAAGCTTTGACATTCAAGCTACCTTTTTTAGATACTTAGGAATCCAAATAGGTATTTGTGAGATAAATGTCCATTTTTATAATGCCATTTAGGTCTGGCAATGAAAAACCTTTATCTTTACTTAAGACAGAAATGCAAAAATTCAAAATGACATACTATTAATACTTAATAGAAGAAAACAATTTTCTATTTCTCATGTTTACATTTGTTCTGTGATGCAACTCATCACTCACTATGATAAATTGTATATGGGGTCTTTATGTCTTGGAATAAGAAAAAACTATCATAAAATACATTACTTGTTAAAGACATTAGATGTGCTTCTCTACCTGTTTTTCTCAGAAAAGGAAAAGTCTTAATGATGTTTACAGGCTGGATGTAATTCACCAGCAACATAAACTTACTAGCAGAGGCAATCTTGATTCCCAAAGCTGCTATTAGTGAGTCAATAACACAGAAAATTCACAGGTTCTATGCATTCTTGAAGACATGCATATAAAACTTCCAGTAAATACTCAAGAAACTAGTGCTCATACTATTTTTCTGTGACTGTTGCCAATGAAGAATATAAATACTATGTATAAAATTCTCACTGTGGACTAAAATCCACTTGAAAAAAACAACTGATAAATACTTTATAGATACAGAACAATTTCATCCAGTAGATGAGAAAAAAAGTCTTAATATATACTTCATATAATTCCATTTTACATACTTTGAGTAATTAAATTCTAGGTTTATAAACAAAATTGAGCATTACAGCTCAAATATGTATTTCTCTAAGCAGTTTTATTAAGCAGTTTATTTCATATAGCCTTTAATTCCATATAGATATATGTGTAAAATGTGATATCCAGTGTTTATAGGGTAAAGCTGAAAACAGACTTGGACATCTCATTGAGTTCCTACAGCAAAAGCCACTCCAATCTCATTGATAAATAAATCACCTCAATCCTTTCTTCATTTGTTACTGCCTTATTGCAAAAGCATGAAGCCGAAGCCTAGAAAGTCAAAGTTAAGGCCTGACCTTCCATCTCTATCCTATCTGGCCTCTCCCTTGTGTACCCCTCAAACACACATGGTATCATTTCCTGATGAGTTTAGAAGGGGTTATCAAGAGAATTTCAAGACGTGTCAGTTTTGTAGCAACCTGAATGCTATACAAACATCTTCTGTGTTTAATAGGCGATTTGTATTTTAGTAGGTTTATCCATTCCCAACTTTATTTGTTTAAAGGTGCCTTAACCTTGACATAAATCAATGCTAAGCATCTGTGTAGAGTACTTCTAGAGTTTAAACATTAAGCTCTTTGGAGAGTTATATTTTGCAAGCATTCTTTAAAAAAAAAAAAATTACCTAACTTCTTTGGTCATTTTTTCTCCTTGAATATTATGCAATTTATTCTTTTTCACTCTTCGTATGGTGTTCTTTTAAAGATCACGATGAAACACCAGGTTAGTCACTATGAAAATGCCACCACCACTGGCTCCTGAGTATCTTTTTCTTCCTAATTCGACAATGAGTGTTTGTGTAAGACAGTAGGGCCAAAAAGTCGGAGGCCCCGAGTTGTGTCTTGCAGCAACCCCCCCACCCAAAGAAAACAAAAAGCACTGAACCTTTTCTGCCACATGCCCGGTCCTTCCCCCACCACCTCTCTGGTGAAGACAGCCATTATTACATTTCCTTTCGGGTTATTTACAAGGTCTTGGCTCTGACATTGATTTCTTATCTGTTTCTATGACAAATGTTAAGTGTTAATAAGCTGTCGCTTTAAAGAACGATAATGCTAAACAAATCATAGGAATTAATTACTCAAAACTATTCTTTAAATTTTTTTGTAAGCATTGAAACAAGAACAGCAAAAACTGTTCAAGACCGGGAAAAAAACCCCACATTTTTTTCCAGTTAATGTGTTAGCAGATTAAAAGAAATTATAGTTTAAACTAGGGAATATCCTGATAATCTAAAGTGAATTTGTCAGGGGATATAGAGGAACCAGGCAGGCACAGCTCCCTAAGGAACAGGGTCTTTTAATTTGTAAGTGAAGGTTTTAACTTTTTTACTTTTTCAAATATTTTGCTTATGGTATAAATTTTAGGATCAAAGGTGAAAGTTCAGAAATCTTTTCAGTTACAGAACCATTAAAATGATAAACATTTGGGATCCCAAAGTACACTTCTACTCTAACTGTCCTTTCAGACCTCTATTGACTGCACTATAATAGCTGCCAACATTTGGTAAGGATTAGCCTTTCATTTAGACAAAAGCAAGCATTCCTTAGCTAAATCAGCACTTTTTGCCATCAGACTCATAAAACCTTTTCACAACACAGATTTTCAAGAGAATCCTTTAGGGTTTTAGGATGCTGCTCCTTTTACTAAGTAACAAAATACACCCCAGGGTGTCTCATTGACCGCACTCAGCTGTCCTTTGACCTCCACAATTGTTTAGCCTAACTTCAGGGCCACGGAATCTGCCTCCCCCCCATCAAAAAGGCTAATGTTGCTTCCTCCTAGCACCTGGTGAAGCAAAATCCTAGAGGTTCCCCCCTCTTCCAGACTTCTACCATGTTCCAGATGTTGCTGAGCAAAACGTTCCTGCAGAGAGGTTTTGGGAACCCACAAGCACCGCTCAGAACCTGGGCTGTGGCCATGACCCCCTTGCTCTGCTCAGAGCTGCCCTTGCCCCAGGGATACAACAGGTCATAAAGCAGGAATAGATCTTCAGCCTTCTGGGTACACTGGCTATTTAAATGCAACAAGAAAGTATGCGAGCCCAATATTGTATACTGAGACAAGCCTCCCCCCTTTAAGAAGTCAGAAAAAAAAAGACGTGTGAGAAACTCAGTTGGAAGCACAAATCTATCCCGATCATTACAAAGATCTGCATTCTTCTTCCCATTTGTTTTAAACCCTTTGAGAGGACAAACAAACAAACATCCACCCTCCAAGTGCATAAAACATCTATTTAGCTAGTTGCCTAGGTATTTGCAGTGCTTCTAAGTAAAACAGCAGAAGAAAATTGTTACAGCTTCAAAAGAACTCTCATTAAATAATGAAGTTGACCTCATTGTGGATATATAAGAAAAAAAACAGAAGCACAAATCAACTCTTTGGCGAAGGCTGTTTAACTGTATGAACTGGATTTCAAGATTTTCTTAAGAACTTAGATGCTGTACACGCTCAAAGCAGAAATAAAATCGTTATTTACAGTCCACACTAAATGTAGTCAATGGGAATGAAAGCACAGATGCTGAACACAAACATACCATATATTGTCTATTAGAAAGGGCAAGCACAGTACCTTCTCAGAGTCCTTTTAACCTATTTGAAATGCAGTCATGATTAAAGGATGCAGCTAACAGTTTGTGAAGCCTTGCTGCGAGGTTGTTTAAAACTCCCAAACACCTGAAAAAGAAGTAGGAAGAAAAAAATTAGAATGGCTCATGCCAGCACATAGTTTATAACAAGCCAACAAAATCTGCCTATCTAAACTTGGTCTAGGGTGAAAACTGAACTGGGTGGGGAAGAGAAGGCTGACCACTTACAAGAGCATCTTTTTGTTTATAGGTTTACTTGGTTGAAGTTGCATGGCTGCTTCTTTGCATTCTACCAGAAGTACAAGTTTGTCACAGAATCTGCACAGTCTTGGCACTGAAGTCACTGTATGAAGTATTAGGAACTTAGCACATCAATGTGAGAAAACTAACTGTCACAGAAACATAAAAGATAGATGACAGTGTAGAAGTAATTATTTTACTATTGGTTTAAAAAGAAACAAACTAAATGGCTGAGCGGTTATCCATGCTGAACTGGAGATCAGTGTTCAAAATGAAGTCAGAATTAGCTGGTTGCTCTCCTATCTGACATCCCATAAAGGTATTTAAGTGAAAACATTTGTTATAGAAAATGTAGTTTATAATAGAGAATACACCTGAAATACCCCAAAGAATGGCAGCAATGGTGTAGCAAGCAGCAGGCAGAAAAGTAACACCTAAAATACCTAGGGCTGTACAGAACAGTAATTAACATCACAAAAAGCTTTAAATTAAGTTATCATTGACTGGACTTCAACAAGACTTTCTTAGGCACACAAGCTGGTTTGGTTTCTCAACAGAAATGGATAATATTTTGCCAAAAGATTTAAAGGAATTTTCCCTGTTGCTCACAAATAGGATTTTAGACTGGGACCACAGCCTCGGGCCTGCTGTCAAAACCAGAACGAACGCGACTCTTTCAGCTGTACACCTAGAATTCAAAACCTAGTTTTTTTAATTAAAAGAAATACAGCTTTTAGCTTCCTCTCCCTCCTCCCATTTTAAAAAATCAGCCTATCTAAGACAGCAGCGATAACCCCCCCTTCTCACCCAGGAAAAGTTTTGGGTAGGATTGTTGTGTTCTTAGGAAAGACATTAAACAACTCTATTGCCAGGGACCACCGATGCTACCCTGTGCTGTGCATCCCCGCCATGCTGACAGTGAATCCATCACAGATGGCCAACAAGGTTAACACGCAGCTCACGAACAAACTGTAAGGGCTCTGCAGAGACCTCAATGATTGCAGAATGTCAGTAATCCAATTCCAACAGCTCCTGGCTCTGAAATTGCTATTTTTCGGACACGTGCTGAACATTTCACCTGCTAGTAATGACATTTTTGTATTTTCTTCTAATTACACTCAAAGCTAAGACCTTTGGCCCTAGGCCACGGACCTCTATTCAGGCTGCACACATTCTCTTAAACGCCCTGATCCTTTGTTGTCACTCTCGGTCTTTCATCTATTATTTACATCCATTGAGAAGAGAGATACTCTACCATTTGTGAAGCTTTAAAGCTTCTAATCATCTTAATTTCTTCGCCTTTCAACCAGTGCTTCCCCTTATGGACCAATGCCAATAGTGTGACAAAATAATTTTTCAAGCCGAGATCCTCCTGGACCCTTCCCAAACCTTGACACACACAGGGGCTGTAAGTGCCTTTTGTTCTTAGCCGGCTGCTTTTGCAAACACAGACCTTTGCTCAGCTTCGGGGGAGCGGGGCGGGTATGGATTCGCTTGTCAGTGGCTTGGGGGAAGCTTTCTTGGAGTTTAGGGTGTGGGTTTTTTACATCATTTTGTTTCTGTTAAAGTCTCAGTCCCCCTAAATCAGAGACACTGTAGTGAATCTTCCCTCTTTTAAAAACATTAAGTACCTTCTGAAATACAAACAGCTACGAATTTTAAGTTTACTGGTTTTTCCAAAAGCTAAACTGCCCATGTGCTGTTTCGGTTTTATATCATTACGTGTCCTCTCTGTATTGACAGATTCTCACACAATATTTACGACACACAAAATATCAGTTATGCTTTTTCTGATCATTACCGTGATTAATTTGTCCTAACTTTACAACACCATGTGACAAAAATACAATTTCTTCATCTGATGTTTAGATCATCTCCTTCTGATCCCTCCGTATTTGCAAATGAAGTAGGAAACAAATTGGCAGCACTTTTGTCAAGACGCAGAAGATCTCTTCAGAATTCATTAACCACTGATCTTCGTTTCCAAGACCTGTGGGATCTGCTAACGTGATCCATCTTGGCTCTTTCTTCCACTACTGCCTGGCTTACTTTTGATTTCTAACAGTGCTTCCTTGTTGTCTGTCCCCTCTGAAGACCCCCAGCCCCCTTGTCTTTTCTTTTTTTCACCATTTGCTTCAACCAGCAGTTCACTTGAGACTCATCCATCTTACAATGCCTAAAGTGACAGATGCTCTTAGGAATGACCATACTGCTGGGTGAACAAAAGATAACATCACCTCTAGGAACTCAGGGAGAAATACAACTTCAACCCTAAGACAGGGTTATCCTGACGAACACAGCACCATAAACCTCACTCAAGTGAAGGGAAAAAAAAAAAAAAGAAAGAAAAACAATTGCAGAGAAAAGGAATCTGACACAATTAAAGGCCAAAAAGAGTATTCTTTCTGTTGCAGCTGTAGTTACCGGTGTCAATGACTTTTTTATTTTCTGTTTTTTTCCTAACACCCCATGGGAGAATTCTGTAGAATTTATGTGTGATAAAAATCAAGAGGCACAAGAGAGAGTGGAGAAATTTCACACAAAAACTGTCTCAGGATCCCTGCAGACTTGAATGGAGGAAGAAGGCACTTTGGTACAGTTTCAGCAGCATGTCACAGAAGTCCTTCGCCAAAACACAAACATTACCTTGTTAAAATCTACACATCCTACAGACCAGCTGTTGCTCAGTGAAATTCTACAGGAATTCAGAATCATCGTGCAAGCCTGTGCCCTTGATGAATGCATACTGTAACCGAAGAAAGATTACTTCAATGTCGTGGCTACTTGATAAATCTGTAATTTGCAACTAACAGCCCCCCAGTGTTTTGACATTGGAGCACATACCATTTAGAAAAAAAATTAAATTAGAATGATGGATTTTCCAGCCAACACCCACATACCCATCTACAGAAGGATGTCTGTTTCTGAACGAAGATCTACACTAAGATGACTGAAGCAAAAACTGCTGACTTGAAATATGCCCAAAATTCTCTATCCAGTTGGTGGAATGGGACTTGTTGAAGAAAGGGGCGTCCTGGGTGGTGCTAGAAATCTCTTACTTAACAAAGGAAAGGTCATATTAGCATCTCTCAGTGACATTCTCGCAAAAGTGATGCCACAAATGCTGGGAATCCCTTCTCCACAGCGAGATGCAAAGAATTCCCTTCTCTCTCACCAAAGCTTTAAACAGCATCTCATGTTCAGTTTTCAAACATGGCAGGAAATAACCATCATTACAGTACATGAGATTGACAGCATGTAAGTTTAATGAACATAAAAGCTGGAGTTGTAAAACAAAGACCAAGATAGAGGGCCTATTAACCAAGCGTCTTCTGCTCAATGTGAAGTCAGGGAAAATTCACAATATGCACTTCCTTAGCCATATTTATTAATTGTATTTAGCCATATTTATTAATTTGTAATGAGTTATGATTTTAGGTCCTTATCCTGATCTGGAATCTTTCTATTGCGCTCTTATAACATGGCCAACATTAAACCACCAGATTGTAAATACAAAAGTAAAGTATAAACATACCATTTTTTAATATACATTATTTTCCCATAGGATGCCATGCAGTACCATTTTGGACATCCAATATATGGAAATTAAACTAACAACCAGTCAAGTTCAGTCCTTCCTAAAGAGGATCCCAACTCTGGACCCCACACCACTCTTAGAGTTCCTCTCCTATTCTGAGACACCAAGTAATCTGGCACTGAAATCTTTGATAAAACCCCATCCAGTTGTGGAAAACACTTACATGTAGGAAACTCTACATAAGATAATTATTGGTACATGATTGAGAGAGTTGTATGCAAGACTCGGCTTTCCATCTCACATCCCAGCCTGCTCAGTCCAGATACCTCTGGAACCCCAGTCCTCAGCAAGCAGCAGGGCTCAAGGCATGCCACAACCACTAGGAAGAAAAGCAATAAGAAAACAGAGTTTGGGAGATTTACAAGCACATTCTGCCATGGTATCTAAATCCAATTTTCGCCACCGATTCTATTGTACCTTGAATGTCACCATGTCCAGGATAACTTTCTGAAGCTCCTTGTAACCCAATCAAATCAAAGAAGCAAACAACAAAGTCTGCAATTAACACTCAGAGGAAAAATCTTGAAAATATATGCTGCTTTCATCTGAAATACTTGAAGATCTTGGCATCAGATACGGACCAAAAAGTAGTAAACTGTATCCTGCCTTATAAAAATCTATACTCTGCACTCAAATGGACATCTTATCATACAGACAGTCCTTACATGTTGTATCTCCAAATATTTATCAAGTAGAGAGAAGTGTTTATAGTTAATATGCAATCCATCTTCTGCACGTTGCTGCTTTTAAACAAGACAAAGTGTGAGGTAAAAGGTCAAAACTACCAGAAAGAGTCCTGAATAAAAACTCTGCTAGAGTTGCTAGAAAAGACAAGGTGTAAAATAGGTTGTTGGAGTCAAAGTCCCTATGCAACAGAGCAGGCCAAGGGTACTGATCCAAACAGCAGGGAGTAGTAAAACAACTGTTGGTGTTATGTGTCACTAATACCAGACTGCTTTGAAAATCTCTCATTTAATGAAAGCAACATTTTTCAATTGAAACTAAACGTTTGTACAAGCATACATGTGAAATTAGTTCTCATCCAATGCAATCTTAACATGGAATAACTGAAATACTGATATTAAACTTACAGGTAACTTCTGTCATGACCATTAAGTTGCTGACACTGAAACATGACCTTGAAATGACAGCTCCATTAATGCAAGTCTTACCGGGGAAGGTTTGAAAAAGCCCCGATTAAATTAACTACTTTTAAACACA